ACTAGAGAGAAGTCAGAATCAGAGTAAAATTTTCAGAGTTCAAAGACTGAGAAATAAGAGATATAAAAACCAGAAGGTAAAAAGACAAACCCAAGGAGACTAGGGAAAAAAACCCCAACAATTCGGTTGTTTTAAAAATTACATAAATCCTGAAGTAAGTTTAACCCAACAAAACCTAGGAGTGATGATCATATATATCTTCATGAATATAAAAGAGATTCTATGTTTTAAAGACTTCAAAGGGGGAATCTCTAACAGATATTAAAGAGCCTATGAGCAGATTACACTGTTTTGTGAATGTTCATATCACGATTCTGCATTACATGCTTAATAAAAGATGATACTGATCTAATTGTAGTGAATTCTCTAAAAAACCTTTCTAAATCAAGCCTTAACAAAAGTCTTAATATTCTCTATAGATCAAATAGTAGAAATACAAATGAGTGATTACTTAGCCCTTTCTGTTTCTGCCCAAGCCACAAGGCCACCTCAAGTCTGAAGCCTGGAAATCACTAAGAGGCACTGAGGTCCATGTCTAGGGAAGCCTGAGACCAAGGCAAGGTCACAGGGAGGATCTGAAGATTTCTGATCAGCAGCTTTGCTACAGAAAAGTGCTCTTAACTAGCTGCCTTTGTATATACCAATTTGTCCTAGAGAGCTTTAAGGGCTGATTAATAAGCACAAGCACTTGGAACCCTTCTCCAGCAAGAACCATATGTTTTTACGTTTCGTAAAATTTGAGTAATAAAGGTATACGGGGAAGGGACCCAAGAACTGAAGGGAGGCAGATATATTTAATTTTAAAGACGACACATCCATAAGTTTGATCTTATTGCCTGAAAAGTTCTAGAACAGATTATAAAATGAATGGTTTCTGAACCCTTAGGAAAATAAACAGTAATCACTGGGACCCAACATGGGGTAATTTACATATTAAAGGAATATTTAATGAGCATGGAGAGAAACTCTTGGGAAAATTCCCTACGTGGGTCTGGAGATCTCCAACACCAGCATATAACTATTATTTCTTCCAGTGAGACGCAGGTCTCAACAGACTGTGGCTAAATCTATAGGCCTCTTCCCAGGTAAATGGGTGCATCTGCAACAAGGTAAGAGAACATCTAGGGGCTGCAAACCTCCTGGTTAAGTCCCTTAGAATTTATGATTGCTTGTTTTTAAATGTCTCAATTTAGAAATGATAGAGAAATATGTTACTTAATAGCCAAAACAAGGCAAAAGAAAGTTATGACTGGATGCTGCCCTGGAGAAAGTAATACAAGGAATCAGAATGAGCGCGCGCGCACACACACACACACACACACACACACACACACACACACACAC